ACAGATTACTGATGATGATGATGGAACAAGAAGGTTCATTACCATGTTCATAACAGGCCTACAGTGGTTCCTATCGAGCTACGAAAGGATAAACACAGTCGAAATTCTCACAACCTACTCCTTTAAGATCGAATTTAATAAGTTCGTGACCTGTTGTTTAAGTCTAGGTCTCTCAGGCGGTCTCTTCGCTTTAGATTTCCCCACTAAAATCCTGTGTGTTGTCTTCTCCTCTCCCCCATGTGATGCATACATAATTCTCTCTCTTCTTCTGTCCCTTCAGTTGTGTCTGGCTGAAAGTACAAATTATGTACCTACTTATTATGGAGTTTTCTTCCTCCGTTTGTTATTTTCAGCTTCTTCGGTACGTATATTCCCCTTAGCTCTCTCCTGTCAACCACTTCTAATCTACGTATGTATTTCTCTATGCTGAGAGACCAAGATTCGCCCAAAAAGGAACTTGCAAAACTATTTATACGTGCGTATATCTGCCTACTTTTTAATATTCTTGCTATATACGCCTGGGTCCTTATGTTATATGTGCTGTAAGAGTATTGCCAAATGTGTGAGAATCATTAGATGGTAGACGGAAGCATCAGGTCTGTATATTAGTTTATTTCATTTAAATGCGATGTTATTAAATATACCAAACAAATCCCATCGTCCGACATAGCATGACAGGAATACGTTCCTTCTTAAGATGTGCAAATATTTGTTTGCAAAGCCCTGGATTTGGTGTGCATTTACAGAACTAAGTATTAAGATATTTATACCACATTCAAAGCAGAAGCTGATTGTTGTAATTCTGCATTGTGTTACATCAGCCGCACACTGGAATCTTAGGATGGAATCCCACCGAATTTTTACGTGTAAATACAGTAATTGATTTTCAGCAACCGGTTGTGTTCTGCTCCTATAGTACCATCGAAACATACTTCTTGTTATTTGTCATAGAGTCAAATAGTGAAACATAAAGTAACATTATGAGAATAAGCAGGCGGTATATATACAAAAAGTCTCTCTCTCTCTCTTACATTATATTGTATTATACTCGTATTTTAGTTGAATTTTATTGCCTTGATATTCTCACTCTTATGCTTGTGTATATTTCACTATCTGAATAGCTGCGATTGGGCAGTCTTTGTAGGAACTGGACAAGAGCTGGACGGCCGTGGGGTCGAATCGAGTCCTAGAAGGAGCAAGTTTATTTTTCTCTCCACGTCGTCGAGGCCTGTTCTGAGGCCCACCCGGCCTCCTATCCAATGGGACCGAAGGTCTCCTTCCCCAAGAGTAAAGCAGCTGGGACGTGAAGGTGACCACTCACCTCCAATTAGTGCCGAGTTCAAGAATAGTGGATCTGTATGTCCACTCCCCATACATCCCCCTGGCCTGATACTTAAATAGTTAATCACAGGGACAACGTTACATTTACCTTTGTAGCATCAAACGAACGGCGAACCACATGTTGCCAGCCCCAGACACGCTGGGGCCTGTACATTGCCCAATATCCGCCTGATTATTTTAGAAAAATATATGTGTGAAGTAAACAAGCGTGGACTCGGTCCACCGAACCTATGTCCTGTAATTTTCCATACTAAGACAATGTACAAGGCAAGATTCAGTGACTAAGAGGGAGATATGACGTCAGTTACCGGACGTAAAATTGCTTATAAACTCTCCGTAATCACAGGAGAGGGGAGATACTTTCGAAGACTTCGTGCGGGCCGTCTCTATGCGACTCAGCTCAGCGAAGTGGACTTAGAAATTTCAGCTCGCAGGGATCTGGTCTTGCCTTCCTATAATCACCAATGGCTGTATGAATTTCATCTTGGTTTTTTTTTTTCCTTTTAATAAATCCTCATATAGTTAACTGCTCTGTAGTCTTGAGCTTTCACTCTTAAACGGCGTGGACCTCAGCTCCACAAATAAAATTTACCTTGGCTTCATCTGGCTTCGATTTCCGGCTTGGAAGATCTCAGCCAACTGTACTACGGGATACTACACCTTTACCAATTTCGCTATTTGCCTTATGATGGATACCCAATTTATTTGTATTTAAGTGTGTATACCACCTGAAGAAGAACCATAAATGGGGTCGAAACATGTAGTGGGTAAGAATAAGAACACTATTAATACTTGATGGTTGTGTTATTGTTAATGTAAGAATTAAGTTTAAGTACAATTTTCAGCGGCAGACTAATGAATTTCGCGGTCGTGTCCTAAGCATTTGTACCTCGTTCTCAAGGAGATCGTAGACTCATTCTCAGAACTGGGACTGCCTGTTCTTACAGAGGTTTCTCAATGTCTCTCCGGGGTTGTCAGTAAACAGATCAACCCCTGAGCTGAATTCCTTCATTAGATGTTGCGTATAAATGAAATGTCGATTTACCGAAATGGCTGAAATATCGGCAAAGATTCTGTCTTTCAGTCATCAGTAGACTCCTGGTTACACGTCCAGCTGAACCGAAATGTTTTTATTTCTTACTTTCGCAATACGCGAAATACAATACTGTGCCTTGAAACTGCCAATGGTTACATCTTATTTACCGTCTCATCAATTNTTCCTTCATTAGATGTTGCGTATAAATGAAATGTCGATTTACCGAAATGGCTGAAATATCGGCAAAGATTCTGTCTTTCAGTCATCAGTAGACTCCTGGTTACACGTCCAGCTGAACCGAACTGTTTTTATTTCTTACTTTCGCAGTACGCGAAATACAATACTGTACCTTGAAACTGCCAATGGTTACATCTTATTTACCGTCTCATCAATTTCACCGTAGGTAACCGTCGTGTCGACCAATTTGACGATGACCAGCATCTGTATCAGGTACTGCAGCGATCGTGTATAGTAAGTGAATCATCAGCGCCGAACTACGTAGGTGGTACGGTTAGAAAAAGTATGAGTATACGTGCACAGCTTACGCTACCTCTGCCCCTCATCCCCCTCGCATGACAACGACTCCCTTACACGTCGGTTCCATGCCCCAAACACCCTTACTTCTTCTCGCCATTTTTTTATTAGGCCAGCAAAAACGCTCCTTTCGGGGTCTCATAAACTCCTGTTCTTGTCTCCTGTTGGTTCGCTCGGTGGTCGCATGACAGCCCAGCGGTTTCATTCTGTCCCACAGCGAGCCCAAGGGAACGGAGGTCCACTCTTCCATTTCCCTCCCTGCTTCCTATATTATCGGAAGTTTCGGGCTAGCCGATTACTCGGTTTGCCACTTGCTTTTACCCTGGTATCTTGCTTGGCTTATTTGACCCTGAAGATGGAGATGATATATTTCTCTGTACGCCGGTTGACTTTCAACAGACTATACGGCGATATAACCCAGAGTATAGTGTTTTTCGTTACCACCTCTGTGAAAACCTCATATCCTACATATTTTACAATTTGTGTTTGGATAACATTCCCTTCCCCCTCGTTGGTCTCCACCTTATCGTGGTGAGAGGGTTTGAGTATGCCAAGGACCCNCATTCCCTTATGAGAATGGAAAATTAAACATGGTGACTGCGCGAAGTATTTTACTTTGACGAATCAGATTAATTTTCCATGTGTATTTTGTGTAGCTGCACGAAATAAACATATTTTTAAAATGCTGTACGAAACATTTACTTGGTATGCAGTGTTACCGTACCTAACATCCCAGCCGTTGGTTAGCAATTCCGCTTTCAATTCCTCAGGTTTCGATTTAAAATCTCGACCCGCAGACCGTCTGTCCAGATTCATAATTTTCCTCTTTTTCTTCTGTCCCTCCAGAACTAATTCTCTTCATTCACGATTATACAACCGGAGCTATTGAGTGTGTTGCTAAGCAAAACGTGGACAAGTAAAACAAATACAGATAACAGACGTATACTTTTGAGAGAGCAGTAGGTACGAGTTCAGACGTTTCGGCACATTCTTTATCAGACATTTTGTTTGCTAAGACTGCAGCTTGGCATGTACTGCCTTCGCTCGCTTGGAAACCGGGATCGTGGTTTCGAATCGCACTCAGGGCATGGATGTTTTGTTTGTGTGTGTGCGTTTTTCTGTGTTTGTGTACAGGTAGAGGCCTTGCGACGAGCTGATCACCCGCCCAAGGAGTCCTACCGAATGTGTAAGATCAAGAAAAACCGAAGTGAACGGAGAAGTTCATGGAGGTAGGCCTAGGCCAACTGTGGCTGTAGTGCCAAGGAAAAAAAAAAGACTGCAGCTTAAGCAAAGAGAGAGCGCGACAGTGATGTTGGTATAAAACTAAATAGGTTCCCACTGTTGTGCATAGGAGTAACATGCACACGATTACTGAAATTCCAAAAACATACTTTACTAAATCTCTGTTAGAGTAATGTTCAGTGGCGTATCAAACTGCAATGGAAATATTAGAAAAGTACCGGAGAGAGCATATATGAGTCCCGTGACATAAATCACCAAAATCGATGGCTAGGATATTTGCAAATTTCGGAGTGCGAGCGGCAGCATAAACCGACATGGATTCAAAGCCCTAAACCACCTACAATTCTTGTGCCCTTGGCAGGATAAGAGCTTAGTGCTGTTGATTATGATGAGATAATGATGATGATGCCGACGATAACGACAATGAAACGTTTCCGGTCATAAATGTTGACTGACTGGTACCAGAGGAGTACTAGTGAAAGTTTTACTTGAGCTTAATTAATTAAGCACCGCGCCATGGAGACCTATGAGGGAGTGGAGGTGTAGACCCACCATTAGTATCAGCATTAGATCGTCAAGAGGGAGATTCAAATCCGTGCCATTGTACCTTAGGGGAAGGAGTTCCCAGTACCACTTTGATCGGAGGCTGGATGGGGCCCAGAGCCACTCTGGACGCTGTGGAGATGAGAAACCCCTCTTGTTTCTGCCGACAGTCAAACCCCACTTCCTCGACCATCCTGCCCGTAGCCCGTCACTTTACCGACTGATTACATTTTAAATTTGCTGGTTATATTTCTTCTAAATGTCACCATTCCAAGCGTCTTTTAACACATGTTTTCTGTTACAGACCCGACTGAAACCACGCCGTACAAGTGATGACTTCAACAGTCAACAATTGGCACTGTATTTGAGGCCTAAGGAACCGGTAGCCCCTATCATGCCACTCCCCGCTACACAGTGTTGACACAGCGTAAGTTACTTCAGATAAATGTATTTCTGAAATGGCAGTGTTTTCTCTACTTCATACGGGATGTCGTGTGATTATCTACTCATATGTGAAGGAAATGTATGAATGGCATTCTAAATGACGTTCTCAGTAGTGTATATTAATTAATATTTAAATTAACTAATTACACTTAACTCGCACTCCCTAAATTATCTCAATATACCGACCCATTTCGACGTCTTTGCGTCATTTTCGTGTGGGTTGCAACATTCACTGGAAACTTCAAAGAAGAAACTACGTGTAAGGTATAGGCGCCAATGAGGGGGCAATATTCAGTTGTGGCTTAGCGAAATGGATCGTGCAGATGCAATTGGATCAAATTCGTTCACAGTAATATTCTTTGAGATGACAATGAACATACATGTCACCACGCAATGCGTGTCCTCGGGTGATGGATGAGGCAGACAGCCTCAGGATGTGTAGGGGATCTGTGAATATATTGTCTGGGCCGTCATGGAGAGTTAACAGGGAGGTGATCTTGCGCCCTGGCGATTAGTGGGAAGAGATTGAGCCATGTTGAACGTTCGGATGGCTCTTGAATTGAATGTTTCGGTTCTGTATCCTCCCTCCTTCATGCCCCGTGTCATGACATCCGTGTCGTCTCGTTTACCGTTACCCTATAATTACATAAACATATGATTTCCCCTTCCTCCAGCTGTTTAGAAAGAAAACCTCCATCTAAGTATGCAAGGCTGGAAGTTTGTCTTTCAAGTGCCAGCGGTCGGCGAGGTAGGTGTTGAAATTGTGTTTAGGTTGCACTCTCTGATTTCCGTTGGATTCTTGTTCCGGGCATTGAGAGCAAGGGTCTGCCTTGTTGCAACGGGTGTGTCGAGAGCGTTGCAACAGAGATTTTGGTGGGGCTTTATTGCATTATGTGGCTGGGCTTACATTACCCCATTTTGTCTGATTGAGTCTGAAAACTTAAAAGCGCGTATGCTTGCCATCGATCGAGGGAATTAGGTCCGTAAATTCTGTTTCGGCTGGGGTTTCTAAATTATGTGCTGACCCTTCGCTTCGGCCGTTGAAGGCAAGGAGCATCTTCATCGCAACGTTGTATAAGTTTGGGATGATGTAACGAGAGTTTTGTTTAGTATTATATTATTATTTGGACCCGCTGATGGCGCATTTAGTGTTGTTGTACGACTGGATAATGGCGTAAGACTGCGATTTGGGTTGTCTCCCAATGTTACGTGAGTTTGGTCATTTCCTAAGTCTTGGGCAAATAGACGGCTCCTTGTAGCTACCTTACGTATACTTGTCGAAGGCCTAGATTCAAATGCATATTTGAAGTACTATTATAATAGTTTAAGTCTCCATTGTTTTATTATTGTTATTAAATATTAATTTTGGAGTCAGTCGTTTCGTAGTAAAGCTAATCTTGCACAACCGATTCCACTAGTTTGAGGTGCGTGGTCAGCTTCACGACCCTGCCGCTTTACCCGCGGGGAAAGAGCCCCCGATACCCATTGGATAGGAGGTTTGGAGGGTCTCAGAGCCGGTCTGGACGAAGTAGAAAAGAAAATTATTCACCCCTCGGTCTTCCAGCCCGGAGCCAGTTGCTATGCCGGCTTCTCTACTGTATATTTGAGAAAGTAAATAGAAGGGAAAAGAGAGTAAGTGAATACATTTGGAACCTGAGTAGAAGAAATGTAAGGACCACAGATTAAACAACAGCTTACCTTGAAAGGTCCATTCCACAAAGGCAGATCTGATAAGAAAAGAGACAAACACGAACAGTGGCCGAGTCAGAGGGAATATTAGTGGGGGATTAGGAAGCAGAAGAAAGAGAGGATGAAAGAAAGGAAGAAACATCCTCGGAAAGATACTCACGTGCTTCCTCATATATGACTGACCCTGACAACGTTTCTTAGGAAAAGAAATTGAATTTTTGCTCAGTAAATTATTGTTGGTAACTGAATACACAACAACCGACTGATAAAGGCTGTTTGAACCAAATCAACATTTCGCATTTGTTCCCATAGTGCACGCACGGTTGTTTCCCTGAAGATACCACCTATACAATTTCATTGCAGTTTTATTTTGGGAGGTAGTCCCCATAAATTTCTGAAAGTAATCAAAATCTTTATAACCGTCTTCGAGAATACCAACACCTCATTTTTTGAAGCTCAACCGAAGGGTCCATAATTTTAGAAGTAGACTGTTCGTACTCACCGAACAGCGACCTGTCAAAGATAAATTCTCAAATACTGAATCTGAATAATGTCCTTACAATCGTTTAGGCGATAGCAAGGCGCACATCCATCAATCCATCAAACATACGGACAGACAGAAGACGGCATTCCGGAAACCACGTTTTAATTTTCATGGGGGCTAAAACTGGTAAATCCGTTAGAATCTCAGTATCGGTTTTTTTTCCTTATCACAATTTTTCCTTGCATATACCGTGTATATGAGAAAGTAAAAGTACGCCACGGGAGGAGGCCTTAATAGGGGCAGAGTTGACTGAACCTGAGGCTGACTCCAAAGAAACTTCGTACTTTCTCTTATGAAGTAGATGACTTAGGGAATTATTTGGTTTTTCTGCTTTTTCCCATCGTCCAGTATTCTAGAAAATAGAAAAAACGACGGTTCGGAAAATGAAAATGTTTCCGTCCTCAGGTGAGGCGAGAAAGAAAGGGTAAAGTTGTCCCTGTGCTTAACTAATTCGGCGCTACCTCATGAAGATGTATGGGGGAGTGGATGTATGGATACAAGTTTTCTTGCTCTCAGAACTAGTTGGAAGTGAGTGGTCAGCTTCACGCCCTGGTCACTTTACCCACTGGGAAAGAGCCCTCGATACTCTTTGGATAGGAGGTTGGATGGGCCCCATAACCGGTCTGGACGACATGTAGAAGTAAAAATTCTTGTCCCCCCCGGAATTCGAACTCCGAATCCTTGGTCATATGGTAGTTACGTTTATAAATCTGGGCGTAACGCACAATCTTACTTGGCCTTGACAATATGAAGCTTGGAACTGGGAATTATTTCTCTAATTCAAGTTTCGTTTGAAGCCACTTCTTGAGGCTGTAAGGTAAGGGTGTATAATGGCGCACATGAAATGCAGTTTTGAGCATAGTTAGAAGCGGAAGAAAGCCCGTGCACATTACACGCTGGATAAACCTTACATTTAATTCCATGGAATCCCCAAATCAACGCAGGAACTGTTAAGGTGATATTGGCCTCAGGACAATACTTACTGCAGGTGGGCCGGCCGGTATCGAAAGCCGCGGATTACAATGAAAAAGTCATTCACGGTGCATTAGAAAGTGACGTACTCATAACGTGTGTTTCGTATCTGAAATATGCAGTTGATGTGCCGGTTTTAACAGTTCTCTGGATCCTAGATTATGCAACTCCTCATATCGTCCACTGAGTTCATTTAGTGTGACACTGTATGGCAAGATTGCCATTTACCATATTAGCCCGAATATACGGCGATTTTTTGATACTTCTTCTTAGAACAGATGAGTGACCTTGTTTTCGGGTCCTCGAGAACAAATATGATAATATCTTCCTCTGGTCTTCTGGGATATGACGCCGTGTAGATCTTGTGTGAATGACGTTTCGGAGGAACGTATCGCCACCATCTTCAGGGTAGAAAAATCCGCTAGTGAGGAACCAGCTAAGCAGGTGGCTGCAGGCCTGAAGATGGAGGCGATACGTTCTTCTGAAACGTCGGTTAACACAAGATCTACACGGCGCCACATCCCAGAATACGGCATTCTTCATAGTCACCTCTGAGAAAACCTCAAATCTTATGATATGAAGAACATGAATATGAGTTTTTATAATTGCTAATTCTATTTATATTTGTGGAAATATGTAGAATTATATTTAAGGTATTACATGTTGAATTTATTATTTCTTAATAATATAATTTTCATTTATTTTTTCTTACAAGCCTTTAAAATAAATGACATATTCACCATCGTGGGAAAAAAAAACTTTCCTTTCTGATTTTATCATTGATAAAAAATTGGATCACCTTTCTTTGGGACATGTACAGGACTTTGTTATTCTTTGAAGAACTCTATGTTATTTGATGATACGCCTTACAGATTGGTAGGAGTTTACCTACAAGATGTCTGTCACCGCACTTCCCATATGTACTCGTTATTTAACAGCCGTTAAAATTCCTAATACTTCACGCATATACGGTTGCATTGATAGGCGATGAATGGGAAAGACCGCGTAACGAGGTGGCCATGGCTTAATTTAAATATATCCGGTCATAATATTCTAAAGAAAATGATGAGAATGGAGATGAATTTCAGTCAGGAGTTAAGATTTGAACACGTGACCTCCTAAAGACGAAGCGCGAGTGCTCATCACCAACCGCAGTGTTCAGTTAGGATGGTCATAAGTGCTGAACTGCATGTCAGTGCGTCATCTAAACGTTTGTTTCTACAATCTCTATAACAACAGTACAGTAGCCCTATTTATATAGGACACGAATTCGAGCCAGGAGCTTTATGACTAAACCCAGGAACGATATCCTTTAAAGCGTTATATTCGATTTTTATAATATGTTGGCTGGTCATGGTTCTCAATTGCTACTCTGTCTCCAAAAAAAGAAAAAAAAACTCCGTGATTTCAGTCCGCAAGCGAACCATACCGACCGAGCGACCGAGCGACCGCCGCTCGTAGGCGAAGCTTAGTGGCAACTTTTTTACGGATAGAGGATATCGCGTGGTCAGCGCAACGAATCCCCACGGCCGCTAATTTCGTTTTCTAGACCGGAGCCGCCATTTCCTTGAAATAGCTCCTCAGTTATCCTCACGAGGCTGAGTGGACCCCGTTCCAGACTCACTACTTCTCCGAAAGAATCTGGTAGCGCCGGAAATCGAACCCGGACCTCTGGATCTGTAGCCAAGAACGGTGACCACTAGACCACAGCGACGGCCAATCTGTCTCCAAAGCACTGTAAAATGATATTTTGCTCGTATATCGACCCATGCTGTATA